GGGGAGCACGGGGAGCACAGAGGATCACGGGGGAGCACGGGGGAGCACAGGGGAGCATGGAGGAGCAAGGGGGAGCACAGAGGAGCACAGGGGAGCACAGAGGAGCACAAGGAGCATGGGGGAGCACGGGGGAGCATGGAGGAGCACGGGGAGCACGGAGGAGCACAGAGGCACAGAGGCGCGGGACACTGCCACCACCAGCCTACCTCTCTCCCTGGGCCCACCCTGGACCTCAGGCCTGAGCTTCTGCCAAAGGCAGGAGGTAGTCTTGTTGGGCCTCTCCTCCCCCCTGCTCCTTGTGGCCCGTGTGGCCGTGCCAGGCTAGAACTGGCACAGGTGCAGGAGTCCCTGGGCCCCACGCTGTCGGCGCAGGCCGAGGAGGCCTGGGGGCCGCGGGCCCCGCCCCCCGGGCAGCTCCGGTGATAAGGGGATCTTTGTAATTACACAGCCGCACCGGTCAATGCTGAGTTTTAAATACCAGGGGCAGAGAAAGGAGAAGAAAGCGCAGAACACATGTTCTCGGGCGCCGGCAGAGCGTCTTTTGAATTCCTCCGGCGCGGCGCGGTGCGGCCGCCGCCTCCTTTGTGAGCGCTATCGCTCCATCACGGCACGAGATCATTTCCAAATTAAATTTTATGGTCCATTACTTACTGCTCCGACACCGGTCTAATGGAATCTTAAGTAGAACTGACTGGGCCTGCGTGGGGCCGGCCTCTCAGTTAAGACATTATTTAGTTCTAATTATCAGATAATGAACTCGGGAAATTTAATTTTTAATATTTGTATGTCAAAAGTCCATTGTGTTTTGGTTGGAGACTTTAAATTAGAAGTTAACGCGGCCGCGCCAGCGGGAGCCGCCCTCCGGGGCCGCAGCCACGGGGCCCCGGGCCACGTATTTGTCCTTAGAGAACCTGAAGGGCAGCCCCCAGACTCCAGGCAGCGCCTCCTTCCCCGGCCACAGCCGCCCAGCCGGGGGCCACACAGCGTCCGCGTCCGGGCTGCGTGCTGGCCGGGGCAGCAGCAGGCAGACGGCGGACGCCATCCTTCATGCGGCGGGGGCTGCGGGCCCTGCGCTGCGCCCGACTCTGCCCGAGGGTGACCTCTGGCCCCGGACATCGTCCGGCCTCACTGCACCCGCCCCACACCCGGCAGAGTGTCTGGATTGTGCCACGGAGCGGGGTCACGCACATGCGTAAGAGCAGCCTGGCTGCACAGCTCAGGCTCTGCCCCCAGAGCCGCCCAGATCCGGCGCGGGACTCCACAGCCCCGGGGCAGCTCACATGCTTCACAGGACCCGTGCCAGGCTCCCGCTCCACACAGCCGGGCCGGACCTGACTGTGGGTCCCCGGGGACATCCTGGAGGGGAGTCTGTCCTTGCTCGGGGAGTCTGTCCTTGCTCGGGGAGTCTGTCCTTGCTCAGGGAGTCTGTCCTTGCTCAGGGAGTCTGTCCTTGCTCGGGGAGTCTGTCCTTGCTCCAGGAGCCTGTCTGCATAGAACTCCACAGGCAACTGGTAGACGAGAGGTGACCCCTGGGCAGCAGGTCCCGGGCCAGCGGGAAGCCCCGCTCCTCCAGCCCCAGGCCACCTGCAGGGCCCAGGGGCAGAGTCATGGGGACGCAGCTCTGTGGGGCTGGAGGCCCACCCTGGAGGCTGGCCTCTGGCCTCTGGCTGGTCAGCAGTGAAATGCCCCCTTGGACACCCTGCTGACTGAGCCCCACAGAGCCAGGGTCTGCGGGCGCTCGAGGGGCTGGGGATTCTGAGGGGAGGATCGGGGGATCCTGAGGAGGGGCTGGGGCTCCCGAGGGCTCAGCCCGTCTGAGCCACAGGGCCAGCTGGCCCAGGGGAGGTGTGGACACACACTTGGGAGTTCTGACCCCAGTGCCACCAGAAGGAAAACAGCCCTGGAGGTGTCGTCCAGCCCGGACCCTGGCCAAGTGGGGACAGCTGCCCTGGCCCGAGGAGGCCCTCACAGCGGCCTCTGCCCTCCAGCTGCTCGCCACGTGCTGACGGCGCCTCCCACCGCACCGGCGGCTGGCCCGCCCGGCCTGGCCAAACCAGTGCCCCTCTGCTCTGGGTGGCTGAGCATCCCCTCGATGGGGACCCTGCCGTCCACCTCCGGACGTCCCTCGCTGGAGGACAGCCCCTCGGGCTCCCGGGCACCCTGCTCCCACCCTCCTGACCCTGAGCGGTTTCTGTCTGGACCCAGACTGGTATCATGGCTTAGGGATGTGTTTTGTGTTTTTTATTGTGGTGAAGACATTTTGTGTCACATCCACAGCCGCAGAGCCTTCTGCCCGTGCGAACCGAGCTCAGCTCCCCAGCGCCGCCCTCCCCCTCCCGCTGTCTCTCTGCACAGTCTGCTCACTGCACAAACCTCGTTAGGTAGAACCGTGCGGGGTCTGCCCTCCCTGATGGCCCGCCCCATGCAGACCACGTCCCTGAGCGACGCGGCGCGCGTCAGCGCTGCCTTCCCCGGGGACGGTGCCCGCGTGTGGGCTGCACCCCGCCCCACCACATGGCTGCATGCTCAGTTTGCTCCTGCACCCCGGCTCCTGTGAGCCTCGGGGCGCACAGCCCTCTGGGAGCCCTCGCATCCGGGGCTTTTGGATGTGTCCTGGGAAGGGCAGCTTTAATTTGTTCCCAAAGCCCACGTTGCTTGCACAGCGGCCGTGCTCAGGGCCGGCCGGCCTGCGCCCTCCGGCGGCCTCGGCCCGGTGCTGTTGTCATCTGGCCACACAAGCGGCAGACTCGCGCTCGGCCTCCGTTCCTCGCCACGCATTTCGCGGTGAGGGTGCCCGCGCTCCCCACGTTGCTCGAGGTAGTTTGGGAGGAAAGGCGAATCTTCGCTCTTCATTCTTCGCGAATATGTTAACCACTCGGGTCCCTTGAGGCCCGACGGGGGCGTTGGGGGGACCCTGTCCCTGTCCCCGTGGTGCTGAGCTCGGGCAGGGCTGCAGCAGGTCTCGATCAGCCCTTGTGCCTTGTTCTGTCTTCTCCATGAGTAGGGATGTCTTTCCAGGCACCTGTTTTTAAATCTCTTTTAGTGGCCTTTGACTTCTGCATACAGACTTTCACTTCCTTGCTTAACTTTACCCCCAGGAATTCTGATATTCCTGAGACTATTAAAAAAGAAACCCAGAAGTGGCGCTGTGGCTCAAGTGGTAGAGCGCTCGCCTTGAGCTGAATTGCTGAGGGACGGCGCCCAGGCCCAGAGTTCAGGCCCCACAACCGACAACTAATAAATAAACCTATAAATGATTAAATTTACAAAGGTATGTAAGAGTCACAACAGTTCCGTACTGAAAACTCTAAGGGAGATTTAAAAATGGTTTCTTTTTAAAATTTTATTTATTTATTATTTGTGTGTAAGATGCAAGTGTACCAGTTAATTTTCACAAAGCGGAATCTCCACAGACACCCCCAGGTCGAGCTCGGGGATTTGCTGCGGCCTCTGTGCTCCCCCAGCAAAGAGCAGCACGGCTCCAAGCCCAATGCTTAGCTTTTACTGCTGAGGTGGAGTCTCGTGAACTTATTTTCCCTGGCCCTGAACCACACTACGACTCCCTGTGAGTGAGCCGCCAGCATCTGGCCGAGTCTTAGCTACTTTAACCCAAACTGTGACATTTAAATTTCAGAGGCTTTAGTGTTGGCAGTGAGGGGTGTTAAGCGGCGTCTCTCCCGGGCCTCCTCCGGCCCGCACACCTGAGCCAGGCCCCTCCGGCTCCTGACGCAGTGGTGGCCAGGAGCTGCCGCGGTCCTCTGGCCCGGGAGGCCCCTGGGCCCACCTCTGCGTGCCCCCCACCCCCGCTTGCTGGCTTGTGTCTGTCTGGCCAGTCCTGGAGCCCTGCGCTCTTCACCTCCGCCTGGCGCTTCAAGTGCAGGGATCCCAGGGGCGCCCATTGCCCCCGAGCCCTGGGAAGGGGCTCCGTGCCGAGGCCGCGCTCAGAGCCCCCCACGGCCCTCGCTCCGGTGGGGAGAGTGGGCATGCGAACCCCTCCACACCACGCCTGCAGGAGCGCCCCAGGAGCATCTGCAGGGGATGGGTGGTGGCAGGAGCGTGGGCTGAGGTCAAGGCTGGTGCCCTCCGCCCTGGCCCCGGCCTGGAGACGCCCACCCTGGCCGTCGTCCCTTGCTGAGGGGTGTGAGGCGGGGCTGTGCCGGGCGGTGGAGAGGCGCCCACGGCCGCCTCCCAGCAGCCCCTGGGGCCCTGGCGGCGTAAATCATTTTCTCATTGCTGCTGCCGCCGCCGCGCACAGCGGCTCTTCGCCTGCCCGGAGCAGGGAGCAGCGCGACTGTCCCCTAAATTCCGAGCCGGTGATTGATGCCGCCACCGCGCGGTTGCGAAGCCACCATCTGCTTACAGGGAAACATAAACTTTGAGTACAGCGTCCTGCTGATTTTAACTGGGCTAATTTATTGCTCACAAGTGGAGGAGCTGAGTTAGCGGCAAATTTCTCCAGCCCCCCCCGCCCCCCAGGAATGGCCACCGGCCCTCGCCGTGGCACCTGACACTTGGTAAGGTCCCAATGGACAAGGAGGACAGGGACAGGACCGGAACCCTGCGGGGAGCCCCGGGAGGCCCCGCGGGAGGGAGGGGTTACTTCTGAAGTAAACACCCCCCCCCCACGGAGGCCTATTCATTTCCACAATCAGCTTTCTTCTCGGGTATAAACAGCTCTTTCCAAAACTTGTGCATGATTTTAATTACAGATAAGTCTCTCTTTAAAGGCCAGGGCATTCATGCCTGGGCTGCTAAGCTGAGGCCGATACATCCCTGTGTCCACCGTGTCGAGTCTGGCCTCGCACCGGCTGGCACCAGAGCAGCACCACGGCTCTGGGGTGTGCGGGCTGGCCAGCACGGAGGCCCCGCTGCGCCCCCGGGCGGGGCTCCCTCCTCCTCCTGGCCCTCTGAGACCGCAGCCCAGGAGTGAAACTGAGCAGCGTGCACCCAGACCCGCCAGACAGCGCCGTGGCGCCTGGCTGGCCTCCTGCCCGGGGCAGGGCCGCTCTCTCCTGAGGAGAGGAGCAGGCCTTGCACAACTAGACAGTCTCATCCCTGGGCTGCCCTGTGGCCAGCTTCGGCTACCTCCTCCTAGAAGCCTCCCCTGACCTGTCTTTCAGCCAGTGCCAGCATCGCCAGGTCCAGTGCCAGCATCGCCAGGCCCTGTGCCAGCATCGCCAGGCCCTGTGCCAGCATCGCCAGGCCCTGTGGCAGAATCGCCAGGCCCAGTGCCAGCATCGCCAGGCCCAGTGCCAGCATCGCCAGGCCCTGTG